CAAGGCTGGATATATAGGGATGGGTAGTGGATTTAAAAGAAAAGAAAAGCTGGGGGCCAAAGACCAGTTGAATTTGATGCAACAAAGCTGTGGAACCAGCAGGCTGATTGAGAGAGATTGTGACACCCTTTGTCAGAACAAGAATAAAGAAATTGGATTTTAGCACTGTAATGAATGCACTGTACAGTGAGAATGTGGATGTTTGGGTTATTTCCCTAATGTACCGGATTAGGACAGGTAACCAATATTTCACATTTATATAAACGAGGCAGCTTTTTAGCCATATTTCTTTAATAAATGCCTTAGGTGCTGTTTGAACTTGCATATAGTTCCCCAGCTGTGGTTTTTGATTTAGCATCAGTTTGAATAAACAGACAGTATGTGTTAGGCACTTCTGAAGACACACGTTTCCCAGATGTGCTTGTTGCAGTGTTGTTCAACACACTCCTGGCTGGATGGCAAGTTTCATGAGGCTCTGGAACATACGTGGCAGTGTATTGCATTTTGATTAGTAATAAAAATTAGCATTTTACTGTAACAAGTTCTATAGAACAAACAGCTGACATCCCCACATTTCTCTGCTCAGCAGCCATACTTCAACAGGGCTCAAAAGTCCCTGCTTCAGTGGGGCTTTTGGGCACTTCTATCTAATAACTAATTTAATCAGCTATTTATCTAATAGCTGATTGAATCAGCTATTAGATAAACGCTAAAAAGTCCTGCTGAAGCATGTAATCTATACAGACACTGGGGAGCTGGGTTCCTTTTCCAGTAAAGCGCCAGGTTTTTGCGGGGATTTCTTCCCTTCCCCCGTGTCTACAAAGAGAGTACACGTTGATTCTGGTTGACTGGGAGATGACTACCTCATGTTCCTCAGGGTCTTGTAGTGCCTAAGTAAAAAATTCTGGTGACATGACTGACTTTGAAGAAGGCTGTATACATTTCAGCCAGGATAATGATATCTGAGCCATACACTTAGATAGAAATGGGCAGTGATTTGCTCAAGAAATGTGGAGGAAATCACTCATTCTCAAGTGTGGATCCATGGTAGGGTGCGGTGGTGCACCTGATCTTAAACTGAATAATATAGTGTTAGTTTCCTAGCATATTAGTAAAGCTTCTTTCTTTAACTGGAGAAAAAACATATTGTGTTATATGGAAACCCTTTTCCTTGATTACTTTGTGATATAGGCTTTCTCCTGCCCCATGGGAAAGGGACGTTGCACTGAGCCAGAGTAAAGCTAGTTTTCCAGGAGCTGGTGAAGAGGCAAGGTTTGCATCTGGATTGTGTTTAGACTGTGAGGTACAGGTTGGATTTCTGTGGCAATAAAATTTTGTTAGCTATTATTGCTAGACTTTGGCTCAATCTGTCCATCTTGGTGGAAATGTTATGAAGACCTCAGGTTGAACTTAAACAAAAACGGCAGTTCTTCTGAAACTTTGGCCTCATCTGAACTAAAATGGGAAAAACAAGCCTTTTCTGGTTTTGAATCCATCCCAGACCCCAAAGTGCTTTAGATCTGGGGATCCTAATCCAATTATCTCCATTCTCTGAAATTTGAAGGAGTTTGGAATTGAGGTGCCAATTTTGGCCTTTGGTTGTAAAATGATTCTGGTTAACTCAGTTGAAATGCTGCCTGGCTGTGCAGGACTGGACATAGCCATTTCCAAACTGCATCTATCTGAAATTTTTTAAAACACTTTGAGTGCAACGATTTTCCTGTCTACTGTAGCCAGGCAAGCTTTCTTCCAACTGAGTTTGCCGTCAACTGATGTAAACACTGTTCAGCTATTTTCCCTGCAAGTGTCAGATGTGAGCTGAAACTTTCAGAATCTATATTAGCTGGTGTGGCTGGAAATTCCACTTACAAAGAATTGAAATCCCATTTTTTGCCACAAGAAAGAATTTGTTTAGACTGTTTGTAACTCTTGTGGAGACTGAAGAAAACTTTCTACATCAGTAGTTAAGGGTGGCTGTTTCAGGAGGGAAAAACATGACATGAAAGCACAGGGTGACACACGGAAGGTTTAATATCTGTGTTTATAGTCTGGGATGTTTGAAAGACTACACTAATGCATACCTATTTTTCCTCCCAAGGTTTTGCCCATTCTTGAGATTCTCTATCATGTTGAAGAAAGGAATTCACACCATGTTTACATGGCTCTTATAATTTTGTTGATCCTTACAGAAGATGATGGCTTCAATCGATCCATTCACGAAGTGGTGAGTTACTGTTATGTTGAAAGGATTTATCTGTGTTTAAGAGTTATTTATTTTTGATTTATGTAGAGATGAACTTGTGTGTTTTCAAGACATTAACTGCCTCCTCTGTAGAGGTGGTTTTCAGACAGTATTTGCTCTTCAAGATATGAATGTGTATTATACTCATTTACTGCAGGTTTGTAAAACGAAGGTTACAAGTTTCTTTTCAAACCTTTTTTAGGGATACGTACAAATGCTTTCCTTGCCATTGGAATATATTTTTTCCTTTAGTGCTTCCTCTTACCACCTGAACATAGAAATTGTCAGGTAGGTTGTGTCAAGAACGTGGAGAGTTTACTAAGGAAGGGAAAGAAATAGAATGACGGATAATCTTCTTACGCTATCACAGAAACCTTACTCAAGTACCCTACCTTACTCAGGTACCCTATATTTCAACAAGTACCCTATATTTCAACAGATGTCAATTAACTTCCTTAATTGATATCTCCATCCTGCCTTTCTGCCAGCTTAATATTTACTTTATATTGGCCATATAAAGTAGTCCAAATGTTGAGTAGATTTGATCAGACTTGTGCTGGAGATTGCCTAAGAGGCTCGTGTTCTCGTTCCTTGGCTTGTAAAGCTACAACACTTGCACTGATTGGTTTGATTTTTGGCTGGAATACGTAAATTCTCTTTGGAGGCTGCATAAAGCAGAGGTCGAGTGTTCAAATGTTAGAGTAGAATCTTTTCCATAGGCAATTTTTTATCCTGTTTTTGCACAAATGTAGAGTTTTTCCTCTTGGTATCAAAGAGAGAGACGCTTATAAATACCTGAGAGAGAGAATTTGGTCATTGTAACTGCTGTAACTTTAGAATATTTCATATAGGTCTGAATGAAACAAACAGGAAGACTTGGCATTTATGGGAAGTTTCTTGGGAGCAATAAGCAAGGAAGAAAACCCATGGCAAATATGCAAACTCCTGAAACCACCATTTATCTGGAGACTGCTCTTTCTGTTCTACCCCCATTCCCCAAGAGCATCTCTGTGTTTGGATTCAGTATCACCATGACGTTTAACTTTGCTCATGAATTGAGCTCATTGAATTGTTGAGATACGGCATCCCTTTCCCACCTCTTGCCTCATCTTTCTTCATTCATTTTAAAGGCTTTACACTTGGTCTGTCAACAGATGCTTTACTGTTCAAGGGAGGGTGGGATATTTCCCTAAAATGGGCAATGTAGATACAGCCACAAGGTTAGAGCATAAGTGGGTTTCCACATCCAGTTAATCTATGTCCTTGCAGTTGACAGCCAACATGGATGTAGTGATGTCTGCAATGTAGTGGATATTTACTGTTTCCCTTTTCATAAAAGAAGTCTCTCATCCTCTTTTCTTCCTGCCAGTCTTCTCATTAGTTCCCCTCTCTTCTTCCTTTCTTCTTCTGTTCTCATCTTTTTTCTTTTCCATGTCTTTTCTCCCACTGTTTTCTTTGCTTCCTTATTCTATGACTTTGGTTCCTTATTCACTCCTCGGCAGAGACTGTTGGGGTGGCCATCCAGCAGTGGCTCTAAGGGACATTCTCTCTTTTTTTTGCTGCTTAGTATGGTATTCTGGGAGTGGAACAGGCCATTCTATGCGTGGGAGCTGCTATCAGCACCTGCAGCCCTGTTCAAGTGAACGGCTCCAGAGACCAGCTGTGGTAGGAACCATTGGAGAAAGAGGGATGAAAACAGGTGGCTTTTGAGGAGTCTCACGGCTCGTCAACAGCTAAAGAAACATGTTGACACTGAAGAGCAGACTAGAGTCTTCCAGCTGCTTCCAGTGCCCTCTGTTCCCTTCCTCTGCCCTGGGTGCCTCTCTTTTCCAGACCTTTCTTTCAACCCTGCCCATAGTGGACTTAGAGACTCCTTTGGGTATGGATCTTTGCCACTCCTGTAGCATCTCTTGCATTCCTACTGTTTGGTGTTAAAAGGATAGATGTGTGCAATAAAGAAAAGAAGTTGAAAATCCCTTGCTGTCATCTAGATAATTTCAGCTGTGTGAGAGCACCTTAGGTCTTTGTCCAGACAGAGCCACCACAGCACCACCTTGGCAGCTGTGACATAGCCAGTTAAAAGAAGGTCAGTGACTACAACGCTGCCCCCAGAGATTCCCCTTCTGTGGCTTGTTCCATGTAGAGCCTGAGCAAACAGCACTTTTGGTTCCTTCAGGTGGTTCCTGATTCTGAACATCTGTGAACCTTGTGGAAGAGGGGGAGAAAGAGAAGATCTTAATATCACATATCATTCATCATTCATATCACATACCATTCATATCACAATTATAGGTTATGCCCAGCAGTTAGTGAAAGGATAGTAGACATTGTTTTGATTTGATACTCTTTCTAAGTCATGGAGTTGGATGGTTTCTAGAACTCGGGTGTAAGATTGCATTGGTGAATCCATAGCTATTTACCTTTAATGATTTGTGTGTATATACCCACAGCATGAAGGGTAGGAGATTAGCCTCCCAGAAGAATAGACTTATGCAGTGGTAAATACTGAATTAGTCTGATGAAATGCCTTCAATCTCAATGACGCCTCTTTCCAAATAGTGAGATCTTACACAGGAAGAAGAATATGAATGGAGATCGAGCTATCTAAATAATTCTGCAAGATGCGACTATCTAGCATCAGTCTTGCAACATAAATGAAGCTCTTATTCAGTGCAAATATTTATCACATTTTAGCCATTGCAGCAGGAAGGTTCTTCCATCAATTGGCTGAAGCTTGAGAAAATAGGAGAATTTAATGTATTTTGAGCTGACCTGTTTTTCTCTCTGCTGCTGCATATCCTGTAACGTTCTCAAAACAGTCATAACAGTGTGATCCATTTATGGGCATATTTTCCTTTGTGGTATTACACCCACATTTATTTATTGATTTTTTTTTTTTTAAGATTAATTTTAGTAAGCACAGTTTTATAAATCTCTGTGATTATACAGACTGGTAAAGAGCTCAGGAAACCACAGAAACTCTTCTGACTGCTGAAGCGTTCTTGTTTAAAATAAATGTGGTCATAGCTGCCTGGAAAAGATGATCAAAAACAGAGGCTCTATTCCTACACTTGACTCCATACAGGCAGACCCCTGAACCCACTCAGAGCTGTATTTAATTCACTCATAATAGTAATAATGGAATTAACTTTTAAATTGGGAGTTTCCTAACTGGGGTTGTTATTGGTGAACTAACTCCCCATAACCCCTAAAACATGAAATCATACTTGCAAACTTTAAAGGACATCAAATACTGAAAAGCATGTATGTGTTTTTTTCCCTGCAGGCAGTATTAATTTTGAAATGTTCTGTTTCCTAATTAACCAAAATTCTTTAAAACTACTTTTTCAGTGAATTTTTGCTACCCTTTAAAAAATATCTTCTGTTACTCCATTTAACTCTTACTTTTTTATATCTTTCTTATTGAAACACTTATGTCCAACAGTAGTAATCAGCTATGTGTTACGTGTGATGCATTTTAAATTGTTGACACTATTTCCTTTTTTCTCCCAATTTGAAGAAGTACCTCTCAAGCGAGTTATGCGAAACTTAGTGGCCCACTTCTCGTGCAGACACTTTTGAGTTTTGTTTTTAGGATCTACAACTCTGGTGTTTCACTTTGAGTTTGGGGCTTAAATTATGTTAACACTTGCAACAAATTTTAGTCAAAACCTGTAAGTTTGTTTTCATGTAAAACCCCAAACCTTATCTTTGGTTCAAATGCAAAACCATAAAGCAGCTGAGAGTTGTTTTTTAAAGTGGGACCAGATTCTTCTAAGAGACCATTGTAACCATTAGCTCATTCTTTCAGAAAACCTTGACAGAGTTTGTTTCTGAAACCTAAAGCCAGGTGAATTTCATGGGTTTTGAGGTTGTTGTAGGCAGTTCATGCTGCTTTGTTTCTAGTATTGGTTTTCTCAGGACTGTTTGTTTGTATTTTGTGGGGAGGGAGGTGTTTTGTTTCGCTTTCTTATAAAAGTAGTTGAATATTTCCAGAAAACAAACAGTTTTAGGCAAGTTAATCTGGTCAGTAGTTCTTCAGCAAAATGCTGGTTTGTTAAAACAAAACTTTTTAATGGAAATATTTCTGTTTCAATGCAAGTTTAATTTACAAGCCTTCTCTAGCTTGTGGTGAAATTTCAGAAAGCGAGACAGACAAGCAGATAAGACCCACTGACCACAAAATAACCTGTATAATTACCCAGTGATTAAGGAAACCCATCTGCGATATTAAAGATGCAGTTAAAAGTCCTCACTGCTTGATTCAAAACTGGAACTTGCATCTATGTCCCCACACTCTAGATAGAAGCCGTAACAGCTGGGCTCTTCTAGAGGGGCTCCTCCCCCCCTGAAAAACAAATGGTTTCAGCTTTGTTCCCCATCGGAATGAAAAAAAATTCTGAAATGCTGACATAGTCCAGAAAAAAAATGTTTTCCTGCCAATGCAGCCAGCAACTACGTCAGTTTTGTAGCTCTTTTATCACACTCATGGAGAGAGAGCTACTCTTTTCTTCCTTTATCAGTCTTTTTACTCATTCATTTGTAAGCTTCTGTGAGAGTATAGAGGCAGACATTTAATAACCCCTTAAAAAATAAACCCTATATCTTTATATTTCTGTTTCATACATTCACAGTCTGTGCATTTTTGGTGGGACTACTTTGAACTTTTCATTTTTAAACATTGAGATGTTCTTCTGTGTGAAATAACACCTTTTATAGATGCATTTCAGAGTGCATAACAACAGAGAAGTTTTATTTTCCCCTTTCTGTTTAAAAAAAATGTGTTTTTTTTCCATAGGTTTAGAATACCTACAACTTTCTTTTAATGTTAAAAGGAAGGGTATGTGCTTCTGATCTGCTCAGGTCCCTTCTGACCCTATAAACTATGAAACTATGTTTATCAGACTATCACTGATTACTTAATATCACAATGAATCAGTTATGGAGTTGGGAATAATACCCACTTGAATGCCATTTTTTTG